TGGGCTCATACTGTCTAATCTGCAAGGCAGGCTACTCATCAGGTTAATAATGTCTTCTGAGGGCTGGGGATTTAGCTCAGCGGCAAAGCGCCTGCCTGGCAAGCGCAAGGTCGTGAGTTCGGCTCCTGGTACCGGAGAAAAACCAAAAAAAAAAAAAAAATAATGTCTTCTGATCATTGTGAAGTTTCCTTCTCATCTGCTGCACTCTACCTCCTTTCCTCAGCCCTGAAGAGGAACTATGCCAGAGGATTGCGCCTGGCCATTTGAGGCTTTCTGAAGAGTAAATCCAGGTCTTGGTGCTGGGCAGAAGCAGAGCTTCTAATGTACTTTTTCCCCTCCCCAGCCTTGGGAAAGCAGAGGGCCTGTGTCCACAGGTTAGTCTGACATGACATGAGTGACACATGAGTGTGTCCCAGTCTGTCTTCTGCAGAAGTGAGCCTCCTGTCAACGGAGGGGGCTCAGAGCACAGTGAGGTGGCAGCTTCAGAGGTTTGCAGAGGATCCTCCTGCTTGCTGTCACTCTTTCAGGAGACTTGCTCCATAGGCCCCTGCAATGCTCAGCACCCCTCTGTCATATAGCCTTCCCACTGTTCCCCTCTGGTTTTGCTCCTGCATCTTATACAGTGCCACAGAAACCCCTAAATCTGTTTGGATGGGCATCGGGGCTTGGAGGCCCCCACTTTTATCAACTCCCCTTAAACTGTTCCAGATAGTCATCCCAAAGAAATCTTAGGAGCCTATAGTTTCTCAAACATATAATCTTACAACATGCGCTCTCAAACCTGACTGCTCTCCCAAGTCCTCTTTGCCAGGCTTTTGTTCTCAAACTTGCCCACCCAAATTCAGCAAAGGGGTCAGCACCATCTTCCACAAAAGACTGCTGTGAGGAGAAAGGCAATTCTCTCATCCTTTCCCAGGTACTTCTATTAATCTTCACCTAATCCCACAGGGTAAGGATTACTACCCTGACTTTACAAAAGTGGAAACCCAAGCTCCCGGCTGATGTAACAAAATACTTTAGACTGGGTAGGATATAAACAGAAATGTATTGCTTACAGTGCTCAGGGCTGAGAAGTCCTTGATCAGACTTCCTCACTCCAGATCCCAGGCTGCTAGAACAGCCACCATATTAAAAGCTGTCAGTAGCACAGCAGAGGGGAAGAGGCCTCCATCTAGCAATTAAGTGCTCCATCCCCAGTTGTCTGTGTCTTGGGCATCCTCATAGGGCAAAAGAGCATGCAGACTCTCCAGGTCTCTTTCACAGGGGCTCCACCCTCATGACTTTATCATCTCCCCAAATTCCCCCTCTTCATACTACCACAAGGGAGACTAGGTTTCAACATCTGAATTTTCAAGGAACATCAACATTCAAGCCATAGCCGATGATAAAGTGAGACAGTCAGATCAGCCCCACACTCTGAAATGTCCAATGTCTTTCTTCTCTTCAGTTCCCTCACTCAAGGATGTCTTAGAGAGGCTTAGTGGAGCCCTCCCCGCCAGCATTTACTCTCCCTCCCCTTAGAGACCCTTGGCAGATAACCAGGAACAGAAGCCTGGGGTCATCATTCATATCATTCTCTATGTATTTCCCACACTAGATTCTAGGCATGTGCTCGGGTGGCACTTCCCTGCCCCTTTGTGATGGGTGGGATGACCCGGTCAGTGAGAAGTGACATTTGACAACTGGGGATGGAGCACTTAATTGCTAGATGGAGGCCTTTTCCCCTCCGCCATGCTACTGACAGCTTTTAATATGGTGGCTGCTCTACCAGCCTGAGATCTGGAGTGAGGAGACATGGAGACCCCAGCGAACCCTTGGTGGATATTATGGTTTGGATTTCAAATATTGTCCCTCAAAAGGCTCAGGCGTTCAGAGATGGGGCTCTGGAAGGTGATCAGATCATGTGAGCTCAGACCTCATCACTGTGAATGAGTCATGGCTCAGTGAGCTTGCTAGGAGGTGGGGCCCAATTGGATGAGACAGATCATTGGGGGTGTGTGCTTTGAAGGATATAGTTTGTCCCTGACTCCTTTCTTGCCTCACCACCTCTCTTCCTCCTGTTTGCAATGAAGTGAGTACATTTCTTCTGCCATGTGCTTCTACCATGTTTCTGCCTTACCACAGGCCTAAAAGCAAGGGAGTCAGCTGATCATGGACTGAAACAAATGAAGCAAAATAAATCTTTCCTCCTTTCTTGTTCTCATATATTTGTCAGTGATAGCTGACTAACATAACACAGATATATGTGTACAAATAAGCTTTATGTTAAGAGCCAGTAAGATCGCAGTTGTTTGCTCCTGTAACATGACCTAGCTTAGTGCAAACCTCCAAAAAAGCAAAACCAAGATGGAGGTAAGAAACAGCATGTAGCATATTTTGCCTCTAAAGACAAAATCCCACACTGGCCATCTGCGATGTCTACAGCCCCAAAGGGACTGTTGGCCCTTTGTGAGAACTTGGATGGCACAGCTAGAGGAAAGCTGAGATTACCTACTCAAACTATTCCCTCAACAAGTGTGTGAACTGAGGACTGAGATCCAGGGAGAGCAGGGACTGACAGAGAATAGAATCCTCTCAGGCAGGGCTGGAATTCTGTCACTCATGATACCCCTAACCAGCAGAAAGACTGAAGCCTGAAGAGAACATGGATTTGAGAGCAGATTCCCCATTTAAGGCTCTTCAATATCCTCTCCTGGAGGCAGATTTCCTGCAGCTTCTGCCTGGGAAAGACCAACAGACATGGATGACAGTCTGGCCCTGGGCACCCCCAGTATACCTCAGCTGAGCCTACTTACTGCCTACCTAATATCCATGCTTCCCTTTCTTAGCAACAGAAACTCAACAATCAGGCAATAGGCCCAACCAAGGACTCCATTTCCCAGGTTCCTGTGCAGCTCCTAGGTTCCTGTGTGACCACGTGATTAAACTGTTACTGCCTAAATTGAAATCTACCTAGGACTTTTCAGTGGGTTCCTCTAGAGAAATCCATGACTCAGATGCAGAGGGATAGGAGTCCAAGCACCTTGCCTCAATTCTCAGCCAAAGCCTGGCTTTCTCTCTTGGCTGTATGGCCTTGGACAAAGGGTCACACTCTGAATCTGTGGACTGCTGTGACAACAGATGAATCATCTTATCACAGTGCCTGGCGGAGTACCCAGTGTGTATGAGCTCAATACATGGTGTTCCTCCTAACATAATTACCAGTGGGACAGATGGAGCTATGGTGACAAAAGCCAGAGGGTACAGTACCTTTCAGATTCCAGAATCTTCCAGATTCTTCCAGAGGCTGCTGTGCAGAGGGTCAGTGCGCAATGGCTCCTTCTCTGTCCAGCAACCATTCTCCCTTCTTCCAGTGAGAATGCCTCTGTTTTCACTTGAATGTGATGCTTCTATAATTTAATTTACAGCCGTGAAAAAGGAAGAAACTAACATCTACTGGATGCCACCTATGTCATAGGCAGTTTACATGACTAATTTATTTAATCCTAAGGACAAGCTGGTAAAGCAGATCTACATAGAAATCCTAGCTCAGAGAAGTTTAGTAACTTGTGCAATGTTGCAGATGTGGAGTTGATCTTATACTCTGACACAATCGTCTTAATTAAGAGTGAGCCAGTTCAATTTATAATGTAATCTTTCTAGGAGGGGCATTCATTCATTCAGTAAATATCTGAGTGTTACTGTGTGTCAGGCATGAGAAGCCTTAGAGAAGCCCCTGCCATTAGAGGACCCATTCCAGATGACACAAATATTTCATCTCACAGGACAACACCAGGTAACAGTCACTGCCTGCAACGTTACAGTGAGAGGACTCTGAGAAGGCTCTGGGCTCAGCAGGATGGAGTGAAGTGGTTGGTTACTCAGGCTGGCAAATAGTGCTGTCATGGAGTTTCTGGCATATGCTGTATATCAGCCACCTGTGTTTCAGACCAGTTAAGACTCTTCATGCAAATATACATAACAAAACAAAGATCTATCCTAAAAATTAGAGCCCTGGTTCTAATTTTTATTTTGAAAATAGCAGCCATTGTAGATCTAAAGTAGACCATGCCCTAAAGAAATTCAGGGTATAACTGGCAGCCTTAGAATCATGTGGACAATCCAAGATGATCCTCAAAGAATAGAACACAACCATCTGCCCCACAGTCAGAGGTGAGAGGCCACATGGGTAAGGGTTTCACTTTTCCTGTGATTTTTTTCCTGTGTGATGCTCTTGGCTGAAGGCTCTTCACAGGCAGGCACAATGTCTCCTCTGAGGGATTAAACTCACCATTTGCTGTCCAAGGAGAGTGCAGTTCTGCCCACACTGCTCAGAAGGACTGTGACATGTACCTGCCCACCTTGACAGGCAGTCCTGATACTCAGCCTGCCCTGAGTGGGTACACTGTATCCTTCCTAATGGGTCTGCCCTTATCCAACCAAACTCACCAGGATGTAAACAAATTCCTCTTTTTTTGTTTAACTTTATTTTCATATGATTATTTATTGGGATAATGTATTTAAATTTTTTAAAATTTAAAAGTTACCCCCCCAAAATGTGCTATTAAAAAAAAAAATCCCCCTCAATCAAACACACAGCTCTTTGTTCACCTTCCAGGGAACAATCAATCGAAATTCCTTTTTAAAACAACCAAACTTAATTTGGTCTTCCCTTACAAAAACCCCAAGCACTTAGAGCAAAAACTAACTTTAAAAACATACGGACCTAAGAAAGCACAGACAGATACATGTGCACACATTACCACTGTGGAACACACGCAAGTACAAACTGAAAAGCTACCCTGCACCTGTGGGTGTAGCTCAGTGGAAGTGCTTGAGGACTTGGGCTCAATCCTCAACATAAAAAAAAAGAGGAAGGGAGGAAGGGAGGGGGGGAAGGAAGGAGAAAGAGAGGGGGTAGTAGAAGGGAGGGAAGGGAGAGAAGAAAAGAGAAGAGAGGAGGGGAGGGGAAGGGAGGAGGGAGGGAAGAGAAAGAAAAGTGGCGGGGAGGAAGGCTCCTCCCAGAGACACTCAGCGTGTGAATGTATGTGTCCTAGGTGCTCTACGGTATACAACTGTCCAAAAAATAAAAACAAAACACAAGAGCAGACCAATACTGATTTTTCCATTATCTCACTTGTATCTCAGGAACATTTCCTCATTGCTTCTTCCTTCAATGACTTTAATGGCTTTGTCATCTCTCATAGATGATGATTTATTTAATCAGCCTGCAGTGATGGGTATTGGGGATTTCCAGTTTCCATATCAGAAGCAACATACTGACAGGCCCTAAGACTTCATTGCAAAAGATTTCTAGGAGAAATTCAGTCACAACACATGGCCACTTTTTAAGGCCCAGCACATTTTTCAAACCGTTCTCCAGTCCACTATTGTTCTCACATCATCATCACAGTGTCTCCAAATGCAGACTTCACGAAAAGGCTAAAAAAGCCTTGGCTCACACCCAGCTCAACATCACTGTTGAGGCCCACACATCAGCTGTGTGTACCTGAACCCGACTTCCAAGTTCAGACTAAGGCAAAGGCTTCCTTGGGCGTGGCCACCTGTTTTGTTTACTCAGCCACAGCACCTGACCTGGGCCCATCCCAGTCCAAGGTGACTCAGCTGAACAAGGGGCGGGTACCACCCTTCCCAGAGAAGGAACCAGCTGGGACAAAAGCTACCACCATCCAGGGAGGCAAAGAGACTCTGAGCAGAGGCCAGAAGACGACCCAAAGCAGCAGCTGCCAGCAGGTAAGAGTGGGGCCCATATCAGCTGGGTCAGGAATGAGCAAGACCTTGTCTCATCTCCCTGCCTCCCTGCCTCTGCCCTTCAGAACTTCCTGGGAACTTTCAACGTGCTTCACGCTGGGAGTGAAGCATGCCTGGGCCAGATCTGAGAGCTGAGTGATTTTCTGCACTGCTTCCCACATCTATGCTTGCCCCTTCTCCATTCCCCAAACATCTACCAGAGGCTGGTTCAAACGACAGCTGGACCATGGCACTCATTTTGCTGCTTACCGTGAAGGCCCTAGACAACGGCACCCATAATTAGCTCCTTGACATAGCTCTTGGAGCACACATCCTGCTGAAGTGAGAGGCCATGGACAAAGAGCCTGTTTCCAAAAAACAGAGCCAGGCCTCCTCTTGTTACCTCTTTCTCTGAAGCTGTCTCTACCAACAACTTTCCTGCTATTACCAGGAAAAACCTGCTGGGAAACTGGGCCAATGGCTTTATCTTTCTAAGAACTTGTGTCCTCCTGTGGTGGCTGGAAATAATTCCGCTGGGATGGAACGAAATGATGAAAATGAGAAGTCAGTACTCAGCCCCCACGGAGCAGGGGCTCAGGTAGGGGTTTAGAATGAACATGCTTGGCTGGACTGGGATGTACTGCCTGTGTGACATTCAGTGCCCCAGCTGGTAACTAACTACACACAAGCACTTCTCATCTGGGTTCTTGCTTCCACCCTGCCCCTATCTCCAAACACCAGCCAGGAGGGCTGGATAAGCTGGACAGTGGCACTCACTCTGCTCCTCAAATTCCCTAGTGGCTCCCATTTCACCAGAGGAAATGATGATGTCCTCACCAAGATCTACAGGTCCTACAGGATCTGGCACCCCTTACCTCTTCTCTAGCCTCCTCCTCCACTGCTACCCCTTTGGATAGCTAACGTCAGTCTCAGTGATCATATGTTCCTAAACCTAGCAGGCACTTCCCTCTCAGGGCCTGTGCAACAGCTGTGTCCTCAGCTTGGAATGCTCTTCCCACCATCCCTTGAGGCCTTTACTGTCCCTGAAGTGAGGCTCTGCTGGACCTTGTGACACTAGCCACTCTCCATCTTGGTTCATGTGCTTCTCAACACCTAACAGCCTACAAAGTCAGGGAGCTTTTTATCCTGCTCCACACTAGAAACTATCTTCCTCAAGAACTGAGTCTTCCTTTGTTCACTAACATTGAAAGCATATGTGCTAGGTACTATGCTAAATACTTTTCATACGTATCTTATCTCTTTAAAAATCTAATCCCCAGATAACTCTGATGCAAATGTTATTCCCCATATAACAAAAGAAATGGCACTCAAAAAGGAATTGCCCATTCTCTGCTTTCACAAGTCAGAGGCAGTCTGAGCCCAGTCCAGCCTGCCTCCAAAGTCCTCAGTTCTGTCCTGTCTCCCCTGAGACCTCATGGAAACATCTGCATTTCTTGAAGTCCACAGCTCCACAGCAGGGTGTACACCTGGAGGGTGGAGGGTTTAGGTAGCTTAGCAACAGCCTCTTCCTTCAGTTCAGCAGATCCCTGGGCTAATTTGGCCTTTGAAGAGTTATTCCTCTGCCACGGTAACCCACGCATCCCTCCTGCACACTCTCTTCTCTAGGGCAGATGAGCTGTCCACAGGAACAAGTGGGAGTCCCAGAGCTTCAGCTCTTTAGAACACCATGTTCCTATTCTAAATTCAAAGATGGGGGCTGGAGACCCCTTTCAGCTCTGGTGATCTCTCAAGGATCTAGTGGCTGGTTTCTGAGGGTGTTGCCATTGCTTATAATATCAAGAAATACAGAAGCACAGAGATAATAATATGGCAAGTATTACAGGAGAGGAAAATCCTTCTGGGAGAGAAGGGTTAGATAAGTTCTTTTCAGAGGAGCCAATTACCTACAGAAACTAAGCACAGCAATAGAACTAAGCAAAGTCTTCCACTGTTAAACTGCAAGAGCCAAAGAACCTTTCAGTTACCACATTAAGGCTTTTTTCTTCTCCCTTTCTAGGCCCCGGGTTATTTTTCAAAGGACTCTGCAAACAAAGGTGGGAATGGGGAGAAAGACACGTCTAGGATTTAGGCTTTCTCTTCCATGTCTGCTTTTCCACCCATAAAATAGTAACTGTATGCCTGCTGTGTTGGACCCTATGTTCTGCAATAGGGATTCATGGGTGGCACTAAGTGAACAGTGGGGACAGCAAGCAAATATAATACATAATGCAATTCCTCAGGAAGGCCTTGCTTACAATAGGTGCTTAATAAACATTTGGGGAATTAATGGGTTACCAGATGGGGTTCCCAGAGGCTTCTTTCCAGGTCCTATGTGTCCTGAACAAAGAATTGGACAAGAGGAATATATGAGGTCCTATGGTCTAAAAGAAGGCTTGCTGATCTCTGAGGCTATGTGCTAGATTTAGGGGAAGGCTCAGAACTGAAATTCACCAGATGAACAAAGAGGAGGAATGTGTGAGTGGTACCCAAGACTGAAAGAACAGGTGTCTCCAAAAGCTCAAGGCCTGAGCTGGTGAACTGAGTTTTAGAGCAAGCAAGTAGCTTGGAATGAATGAAATGCACGACGCGGGTTTGAGATGGAGACATTATAGGAGGAGTCACCTTGTTTAGGCCTGAGAATCCATGTCTCATGTGCCATAAGAGTATCTGTCCAGAGGCTGGGGATATAGCTGAGCCGCACAGCACCTTCCTGGCAAGAACAAGGTCCTGAGTTCAATTCCCAGTACCATTAAAAAAAAAAAAAAAAAAAAAATCTGTCCTATTTCAAGGTCGAAGTCTGAGATTCATCCTGATAACCACAGTTGGGTGGGGCTTCAAAAGGCGGGGGAAGGGCAGGAGCTAAAGCTAACTCCCAGATTTCTGGGTCAGCCCATGGGTGGATTTGGTGGGGCTGCAGTGGAGGGGGCAGCACAACTGGGTAAAGCTTCAGAAGGACAATCTGGAGGAAGTCGTAAATATGCAAACGGCAGCTCCTGTGAGTCGCCATTGCAGAACACAGGGCCTGACACATAGCATGCATGCAGTTACTGTTTTAGTAGGGGGAAAGCAGACATAAAAGGAAGTGGAAGTCATAAATACGGAAATGGCAGCTCAACCCTCAGGCCTGGGCCTCCCTATCCTTGAAATAGCACACTTCCCGGCTTGAACTTTCCATCCTTAATGGACACATCAGGTATCTGTCCTAGCTCCAGACTTTCTGTTTCCTGGTTTCCCTACCCTTTTTTCTGTGCCCTACAAATCCAAATGCCTGAGTCTTTTATAACAAGCAGTGGGTCTGATTTCACCATGGGAAGTGTCCTCAGCCAAACTCAAGTCTCCTTCCATGGACAGCAGAATCCCAATCACCAGTCACTGATGGATGGTGTGCCGTGGTGGGGCAGAGTATTCTCAGCTCAACACTATATCAACAGTCTGGGTCAAGCCAGAATCCCCTAGTGAGAGGGTGGGAGGGATGGTGACGTCAAGATGGGTAGGAAGTAATCGGAGACTTGAAGGCTTTTATGAAGCCAAAAGGACGGCAGGGGCCTTCTTGTCAGTACCAGAAACAAGCAGAGGGGAGCTTTGCCCTCCTCCGGGCCAAATGCTGCCTCAATACAGCACTTTTTGTCAGGAGGGAGTGGTTCAGTTGCACTCCATTCTTTCATTACCCACAACTAGTGCTCAGAGGCCAGAGCTGTTAGAGCTAGGAGACACTCGCCCACTCCCCCTCTCTTTGTGGCCCTGGGGACTGAACACAGGACCTTCCTAATGTGCTACAAAGCCCTTTTATTTTTAGACAGAGTCATACTAAGTTGCCTGGGGCCCCCTGCTTCAGCCTCCCAGAGTTCTGGGATTACAGGCCTGTGCAACCATGGCCGCCTACTCATCCACTTTAAAACTCATCTGACACGCAGTTTCCAGTAAACACAGGTCACAGAGCTTGACCTAGCTTTTCACCTCATACCTGATGCTTTACCTGATCTCTTTTTGTGAACGATGGCGTTAGTCACGGGGCCCTGGAAAAAGTTTGAAGTCGGTGATCTTCAGTATATCACCACACCAACAACCCTGCAACGAAGAAGTAGCGATTTTTCTCTCTGCAGCTGCGGAGCACTCTGGGAATCCCTTCCCCGTGCCCTAACCACTAGTACACATGAGCACTAAATGCCTTTGCTCATTAGGGAGGTTGGTCCGTAGTTCTCTTTCTTGTTTGGGTCTTTCTCTGGTTTTGGTATCAGTATGATGCTTGCCTCCAGAAATGAGTTAGGGAGAATTGCTTCCTTTTCAATTCCATTGAAGAGTTTGAGGAGAGTTGGTATGAAATCTTCTCTGAATTTTTTGTAAAATTCTGCTCTGAATCCATCAGGAGCTGGGTTTCTCTTTGTTGGTAGGTTTTAAATCACCCTT